GGTATTTCTGTAATTTGATTTTGTTGTACTTTGATCCCTTTTTTTTTTTTTTTAATTTTTTTTAATTATTTAATTTTCATTATGTGCTTTGGAGATGCCAAAAAAAGGTTATTGAAATTAAACAAGATTACGTTAATTTTGCCTTTTTATTAATCTTCAAGTACTAGGCACTCTCTCTCATGCGCGCACACACTCTAATAAAGAACGTGTAGACCGGTTCAACTTTTTTTGTTCTTGAATGTACTGTCACGCTCTTTTATTGTGTATTGCATCATAATGTAAAAAAATTAAATAAAATTGACACATTTACACATGTAATGTGCTGTATAAAAATTAATCGAATGAATAACAAGAAAAAATCATGTAATACCTCCGACGCGTCAGAATGATTAGCTTTCTCCATAATATACCTCTCATTTTCACAATCATTCTCATAAATCTTAACCATGAATCTATTTATGGAGTTGTAACAATTCTTCTGAATCCATGTATTATTAATTATTTAAATAGATGTGTGAGCTTGATTCTCGTCAATGCTAGAAAAAAAAAAAAAAAAATTCAATAATTTCAATTGTATCTTAATGGAGTCCCATGATAGGCATTTGTGTGTATGTGTTAATATTTGACAGACAAAAAAATATAAAAAAAATTCCTATCTGAATTGCGTTTGCTACAAGTCAATATTGTGTGTGTATGATAAAAATATATATCATGAGTCACGACTCAGAAAAAAAGTATGAATTGACCACCACCGGAAAAATATTTTTCATAGAATAATTGCTTCTTTGATCTATGATTTCATAAAATGATATATATCTATATCTATATATATATATATATATCTTTGTGGAGGAAAACTCTTCCACTTTTAATTATGGAAAAGAAAAGGCTATGGGCCCGTTTAGATCGCGATAACATATAGGCGTTATGGTTTGATATGATATGAAAACAACCGTTATGGTTTGATATGATATGAAAACAACCGTTTTGGTATTGGTGTGTTTTTAGTAGAAATCGGAACGGTGTTTGGTAACCGAAAACGCGTTTGGTAATGGCATGTGTTTTAAGGAATCCGAAAACAAAACACGTTTGGGGAATTCTTTTTGTTGTCAAAAATTCTGAATCAGGATACCTGTTTGGTAAAGACTGTTTTGTTTTTGTTTTGAATAATTAAATATATATTAATACAATTATAAGTTTATATGTAATAGTCCATTTTTTTATGATTTGAGATAATTTGTTGAAAAAAAAAAAAAATTCTCCATTAAGAGTTGTAAAAAAAAATTATAAATAAATTTATATGTATAAATAAGATTATGTGGGATCTTTATGAGGCACAAACATGATTAGCTAGTGGCAAACAAATTACAATTCAAATTTTGTAACAATCTTTTAATGAGAGGAGATTTTTGCACTACCATTACTTGTCCAACTGAATTAATTATGGTGTGTACAAGGCCCATTTTCTGACAGGTGCAAGGCACATTTTGTGGATTATGAACAGCGATTTGATGAAAGCATGATAGTGGTAAGAAAAAATGCTTTTTCTGATTTACTTTGACCAAGTGTTATGCCATTTTACTTGTACAGGGCCCATTTTCTGATAGGGTCAAGGCACATTTTGTGGATAATGAACAGCGGTTTGATGAAAACATGATAGTGGTAAGAAAAATGCTTTTTCTGATTTACTTTGACCAAGTGTTATACCATTTTACTTGTACAAGGCCCATTTTCTGGTAGGTGCAAGGCACATTTTGTGGATTATGAACAGCGGTTTGATGAAAGCGTGATAGTGGTAAGAAAAATGCTTCTTCTGATTGACTTTGACCAAATGTTATGCCATTTTTCTTGAACAGGTTGACAAAATTTCAAATGGAGCTACCCTGGGTTTCATTACTATTGGAGAGAGAAACACCCCAAGTCTTTGTTTCCATTGATGAAATGCTTCATTTTCCAACAACTGATGGCACCGGTCCAATTTTCGCCAAAGACCAAACTGCTATTACAAAGACTTGCCCTTCAAACTTAGCAGAAATCACCAATTCTGATTTCATTAGAAAAATGCTTTAAAAAGGTTACCTCAACACTTCACTTCCTGTGTAATGCATCATTACTAAACATCTAAAGCCTCCCAGATTTTAATTATCTCACTTTAGCTGTTAGGACATAAGGAAAAACAGAATATAAAATTCTATATTCTGATCACAAACATGAAAATTTATGTTGACCAATGTAAACAACAATTTCAATAATCTCAATCTTTATAAGTGGAAAAGTTACTGTTCAATAAACCCAAAAATACAAAACTGGTTCCTTGTGTCAACACTACAATCGACTCGGCATGTACCACACAGGAGGAGACAGAGATGAAGGGAGTCGGTTGGTAAGAAAGACTTAATACTCCCATCATCTAAGCTGAACAAACCCAAATCACAAGCAGCTCCTGGACCATCATATCTTAATAGCGGACTCCAATAATTGTCATCAGTGAAATAAATGCAGTTTCCCCCAAATCCTGAGAAGAGGCTAGCAGAGAGGGAGATGCCACCGTTGGTGCCTACATGATCTACCAGCAACAATTATGTACAATAATACATTGATCAATGCTAGAAGTTCCATTTTTTTTTTTTTTTTCAAAAGTTTACGACAAAATCACAGTTGCTAAAAATGCTAGTGTAAACTAGTCCTATCTTTCCATTCTATTATTGCATTCAAAGTCTTCCTCCACAAATTCTTTGACAATCTGCTTTGCAATTCTTTCTAATTCCGGGGCAAGTGGTCTGTTCATCTCAAGTTCTTCAATCAACATCTCTGTTTCTTCATTCCTCAAGCTTAAGCTTCCCCAACCATAATCATTCATCGAGCATCAAGCTTGCACAAATGTATTGAGTATCATTAGGCATTGATGTATCCCCAACCATATACATATTTTGAGGTGCCTTTTGGCATCATGAGTCTCAAATGTATTGAGCATCAAGCTTGCACAAATGTATCACCAACCATATACATATTTTGAGGTGCCTTTTGGCATCATACGTGGTATATATATAAATAAGCTTTTCGGAGAAGATTAGGAGGTTAACTTGTGGGATGTGACTCTACCAACCATAGCCGTACCTCTTAAAAATTTTAAAAAAGGCGCAGTGTACATATGTATTGAGTATCATTAGGCATTGATGCCATATATTATATATATGCTACTCATGTCATGTTATACTCTATTTTTTTTTATTTTTTATTCCACACACAAACACATATAACTTGTGAATGTTAGTGTTTCAAGCTTATAAAATAGAAAATGATCGATGAGCACACTTTCACTTAACATCCACTCTCATAATTGTTGGATAGAGAGACTGCATGTTAACGTAATGCTGGCGTCCTGTTATTTCAAGTAAAACTTAAATTGGTAGAAGTATTTTGAGGTTATTAGCCATTTTTCTAGGTGAGAAATCGATCTATATTTATAGCATTAAAATAAATCTATGGCAAAGTATACTTCATGTTCACTTTAATTTCCAGAATGCAAATAAAAAAAAAAAAAAAATAGATGGACAGGACAAATATGAATTTACAAATGAAATTTATACAAAAGAAAGAAGATTTTGCCACATCAATGGCTAAAATTTAATAATGAAAATAGGCAACCAGTGAATTCTTAAATAAATTGTTTCTTTTGGTCCAAATCTACCAGCTAAATAATTATAACATAGATTCATTTTGTCATTGACCATATGGCAGCACTACTGCATACAAATTTCAAAACCAGTAGAGATACATGCATTTGTTGTTGTATATATATTGGTTGAAATATCATATATATATATATATATATCATTTTAAATTTGTATAAAAAAATGGGATTGCAGATTTATCAGTTATTTTATTTAGGGGAGTGTGGCATCCACAAGAAAGCCACATTATATTAATATTCAGATTGTCATTTTCAAGTTTTCATTTAACAAATCATGCTCAAAAGTCTAAGCAAAGACAATGACACCATGTATATATGTGTATGGTAATAATAAAGAGGAAACAAAAAACTAACTAAAATTGATGGAGTTTGAAGGGACTAACTGAAGTGTGTGCAAAGAGATTAGTACAAAATTAAGGGTCATAAATATATCCCTCTGATAAAAGAAATATTCAAAAAAGGAGGACGATCAATGGAAGTGTGTTGACAGGGACTCAAATGGTAATACATACCATTGAGTTGTTAACCACTTTCAAAACAACTCACTTGCAGAACATCATATAATAACACATGAAAGTCATTATAAGTCCCATATACTTTTAAAAGTGTTAACAATGTGCCGTCCATAGGCCCTAAGAATATTTAATAAAATATTCTAATTTAGAGTAGATTTGGATTGGTCTCAAGCCCCAACTTGGGAAGGCGTGTCTGTCATAAAGTATTTCGTATATAATTAAAGAATCCATTGTTTTTTTTAATTAAAGGGTAAGCTTGCGTATAAATTGAAGAAAATATACATGGAGCCCCAAGTAGGGGGAAAACACTCTTTCTCTACATATACACGTACATATAGATATAGTGCTTTACTAAGCATTAAGTTTTGAATTCGGATTTTCTCAACTACGATTAATACATAGTCTGGATCTCGTATATCAAAAAACAAAAACCTTCACATACTAAAACCATGCATGCTAAATCAAGCTTCATACCCCAATGGAAAGAAAGCATCAAAGAGCACTAGGGTGAATATCATCGATCAAAATGAGGAGTCTGATGCATCTTTAGTTTTGAGGTTGATATTTACATCTGCCAATGTATTCATATAGAGAAGAAAAGAAAAAGAAAAAGAAAAAGAAAAAGAAAAAGAAAAAGGAGGCAGCAGTAGTCACCACTCTAACAAAAAGACAAAAATGAGTAGATAATTTATCGCACCTCACTTATCCTACCCTTTCTTGGCTTGAAGTCGCTGCTCAAAATCCATGTTTCTTGAGATGTTCCTTGCAAATAGCTGCATCACAAGCATCTGTTATGCATTCTTCTTTCTTTTTCTTCTTTGTCTAGCTAATTCACATGGTGCCGGATTTCCATTATCGAGTGGGAAAAGAGTCTCTGCACCATCAAGTTGAATCAAACTCTCGACATAAGAATATGATATCATCAATCCATGGTAACCTAGATCCTTAGTTCTTTGGGTCTCAAAATTATAAGATAGCAGATGGTCCGCGTGGTTAGAATGTAGCAGTTCACCGCTCTTTCTCATGCACAGCAAACTCTCATGTGTGTCCCTGAAATTAAAAGTAAATCGTTTTGTCCAAGAACCCATTTTGCCACCCTCCATTGTCCATATGCCACAGCACTCAATCCAAGGAAAATGTCCGAAAAGATACAGTGACTCCCCCAAAACTGCAATATTGTAAGGATAACAATGTCTAGCACCATCTGGCAGCATTAACTCTTCAAAAACTTCATCACCCATTTCAAAACGCACAAGAAAACGACAAATACCCTCAATAGTTTTCTTACTTGCAACCCAATATGCAGCTCCATTCAAGATTGCAGGCCTATGACAAATAAAATCATATGAAGGGTCAAGGGCAACATCAATTCTTCTCCAAGAGCCCGTGCTTAGACTATAAACCTCGGCGGCTGGGTATCGAATTCTGTGGCGTTTAATCCTCACTACCTTGTAGTCATTGACTCCGGGGTGGAACCCAAATACTAGATGAGTGGTAGTCATTGTTCATTTTATGAATTGCATTTCATTCATTCATTTGATATATTTTTTCATGAATTGTAGAGAGTATTTATAATCTTGATTCTAGACATAATCCTTAGAATCAAGCTTATAATCTTTGAATTCCTAAATACAGTCGTCTATGGTCAATAACTAATCTTTGACACACCTAATTCAAACATTTGACATTCTAGACATCTTTGAATTCCTTAATTCAACATTCCCCCTCAAGTTGGTGCATAGATGTCTCACATGGCCAACTTGTCTAAAAACTTTAAGAACACTCGATTTTTGACTGCTTTGGTGAGGATCTCAACCAACTGATCCTCTGATCGAATCTTAGGTAATTCTACAAGTTTTCCATCCAACTTTTCATTGATGAAAAATATGTCTACCTCAACGTGTTTTGTACGGTCATGTTGAACTGGATGATGCGCGATGTCATATGTTGCTTTATTGTCACAAAACAGTCGGATAGGTTATTTAGATAGATAACCCAAATCCCGCAAGATGTTTCTTAGCTATAATATTTCACAAAGTGCATTTGCCAAACCTTTGAATTCAGCTTCTACACTTGAACGAGTTACAACATTTTGTTTCTTACTTCTCCATGTCACAAGATTACCTCCTACGAAAGTAAAGTAACCAGAGGTAGATCACCTATCATCTATGGATCCAGCCCAGTTAGCATCAGTATATACATTTATGCTTTGATAATCAGTATTTTTAGTAAAAAAAATTCATTTTCTAGGAGCAGATTTGAGATACCTTAAGATGCGTATAACTGTATTCATATGTTGCGTTCCAAGATCATGCATAAACTGGCTAACAATACTTAATGCATACGCCAGATCAGGTCTCGCGTGTGCTAAGTACATCAATCTTCCTACAAGTTTTTGATATCTTCCTTTATTAGCAGGTACTTGGTTGGACTCAACGCACAACTTTAGTCCTTCTTCCACCGGTGTATCAGCTGGTTGACATGTTGTCATACTTGTCTCTTGTAATAAATCTAAAGCATATTTTCTTTGAGATAGAAAGATTCCTTTGCTAGATTGAGATACTTTGATCCCAAGAAAATATTTCAAAGGACCTAGATCTTTCATTTCAAATTCTCTGGACAAGTAATTCTTGAGAGCCTTCATTTCTCTAGGATCATTCCCTGTAACCACCATGTCATCTACATATACAATGAGTGTAGTGATCTTACTATGTTGTTTCTTCAGAAATAAAGTGTGGTTTGAATTGCTCTGACCATAGACTTTGTGAACCTTTCAAACCATGCTCTCGGAGATTGTTTCAACCCATATAACGATTTTTTTTAGCCTGCACACCTTCTGACTATGCTATTCGGGTATTATGCATCCTGATGGGAGATCCATGTAAAATTCTTCAAATAATTCACCATGTAGAAAAGCATTTTTCATATTGAATTGTTGTAATGGCCATCCCAAGTTTGCAGCTAAAGATAACAGGACAACAACTGTGTTGATTTTTGTTACAGGTGCAAATGTTTTCGTGTAATCAATACCATAGGTTTGAGTGTCCCTTTGCTACCAGTTTTGCCTTAAAGCGTTCTATTTTGCCTTCAGCCTTGTACTTCACAGTGTAAATCCACTGATATCCAACTGGTTTCTTCCCTAGTGCAGGATCAACTAGTTCCCATGTTTCATTTTGTTTCAGAGATTTCATCTCCTCGTTCATAGTTGTTTTCCATCTAGGGTCAGCTAAGGCTTCCTGCACACTGTTAGGAATAGATATAGTAGATAATTGATTCATAAATGACATGTTTGATTTTAACAAACCATGGTTAGACACATAATGACTCTAGGGTATTTTACTTTATTAGAAAGTTCAGGTGCATATGTAGGTTTAGGAATACCTCTGGTGTGACGCTGTGGCAGCTATTTTTTGTGTGGCTCAGGAACATCTTTAGTAAGCGATTGGTGTGATATGTTGACCGGAGATGGAGCCATATTTTCCAAGAACTCGGTTTCAGGCTGAGTTGGAGATAGATCTACTTTTTCGGTTATTGGGTGTTCATCACCACTTTGATCTAATGTCATACCACTTAAATCCATTTCCTGATTGTTTTCAGTTTATGAGTCATCACCACTGGAATCCAATGTTATACCACTTATATCCAATTTGCTCATATCTTGATTATCACTTTCATCATAATCTAGAGTTTGAATTTCCTTCTTGTACTCCCCCTGAAATTCCGATTTGGAGAAATACATTGTATCTTCATGGAAAACAACATCCATCATGACAAATAATCACCGTGTTGGAGGATGGTAACACCTATATCCTTTTTGATGAGTGGCATATCCAACAAAGATACATCGCAATGCTTGAAGAGTTAACTTGGTGCGTTGATACTTGTGTAGATGAACAAACACCTTACAACCAAAGACATGAGGAGTTACATTTGAGACAGCTAGGGCAACAATTGCATCACAAAGGGTTTGGAATGGTGTGTTGAAATTGATGGTGCTGGAGGGTACTCGGTTGATTAAATAAACTGCAGAAATGAGCGCTTCTCCCCAATAAGATAATGACATATGGGCTTCAATTAACAAAGCTCTGACAACCGCCAATAAGTGTCGATTTTTCCGCTCGGCTAACCCGTTCTGTTGAGGTGTGTTGGAGCAAGTTGTATGATGAATCATTCCTTGTGCTTCCAAATAACGTTGAAATTCAGTACTCTGATATTCTCCCATTGTCACTGCAAAGAACTTGAATCTTTCTATTGTACCGAGTTTCAACCCTTTTATAAAACTGTTGGAATATCGAGTTCACCTCACTTTTGGATTTCATTAGGCAAGCCATGTCATCCTGGTACAATCATCAATGAACGTTACAAACTAACGTGACCCACCCAAAGTAGTGACTTTAGATGGACCCCAGACATCAAAATGAATAATCATAAAAAGAAGTGAACTTTTGTTCAATCATAATAGAAATGAAATATGATGGCTTTTTGCAAGTTCACAAACATCACAATGAAAAGTCGAAACATCAACTCTTACAAATAAACTGGGAAATAATTTTTTAAGATATTCAAAGGAAGCATGTCCAAACCGGCGATGCCGTAACCATATTTATTTCCTTTTTGTATCTTCAGAACCACCCACTGTCAAAGCTTGTCGTAGACTTTCGGTACTCTTTGATTCCAAGTAATATAGCTTCCCCTACCTAATACCACAATCAATCATTTTCCTGGTTTTGATGTCCTTAAACACACAAAAATTAGGCCAAAAAATTACATCACAAGATAAGGTAGTGGTTATTTGTAAAACTGACAAAAGATTATAATCTAAAGATGGAACAACTAAAACAGAATCTAAATTGAATGTATCATTTAGAAACAAAGATCCTTCCCCACTAGCTGGGGTCGAAGTTCCATTTACAGTAAAGACAAATTTTTGTGTGGAGGGATTGAGTGATGAGACCTGTCTAGAATCATATGTCATGTGATCTGTTGCACCAGAATCAATTATCCATGCATTATTCAAAACAAGTGTAGAAATATTTAAAACCTTACCATTGTTTGCAACTATTACCAATGCCGAGGCTTTGCTAGCAACTTCATCTTCCGTCTTTGTTTAGACAACTGCTGCATTGGAAGGCTTTTGTTGATTTTTCTTTGCACGATTAGGATCCCACCATTCTGGATATCTCACCAACTCAAAACAATGACTTTTGGTATGACCAGTTTTACTGCAATGAGTGCATTTGTTGGAAGACTTGTCAATACCATTGGTTGGTCTATCATTGTTGGGTCATCTTCGATCTTGTTGACCCTGGTTAGATCTGTTCTGAGCCACCATGGTACTAGATTCAGATACTTCGGAATCATCGGTCAGGGTGGTATTTTTTTTTAGAATACATATATGTATATATATATATATATTATATATACATATATATGTTTTTAAAGAGACTCTACAGAGAGAGAAGCAGAGAGGGGTCGAGCTTTGGTTCGGCTTTGGCGAAAGCGGCAGTGAGCAGTGGGCTCTATATGTGACAGAGGAGATCGGCGGGACCTGTGATCGGAATCGATCTTGGTAGATGGTGGCGGAGATTGGCTTCGGCTTAGGATGAGATCGGCTTGGGCCGAGATGGAGATTCGGCGATGCGCTCGGATGCCCAGCGGCTGATAGATCTGGCGATGCTCGTCGGCGGTAAGAGAGATCTCGGATGCTGTGTCTGGTGTTGCCGAGAGGTGTAAGACACTACAACCAGCTCGAAAAAATAGTTCGGGAGGTAAAGTTGGACCGGTGGGTTTGGTTGATAGCACTGTTGTGCTTTATCCGTGGTGGATTGGCCAAGTTCCGTAGCAGAAGATCAACAGTGATCTGATACTTGTGGATATGGGTTTAGGTTTTGATTTAGGTAGTGGGCAGCTTCGGCCTTGTTTACAAGGCTTGTCTCTCCAGTGGCGTTACCGTCGCCGTCAAGAAATTCCAGATCGGCAAACGGTGGCTTTGGATCGGTCAAACTCGGACGTGAATTACTTGTAGAAGGTTGAGATCCGACAGGGTCAATGAATTTGCCGGTGAACAGATCCGGCTGCGGCGAGCTCGAATCTAGCGAAGAGAATGGGTCGCCGGAGAACGGGTTATAGAATTTGGCGGAGATAACTGACTCGCCTTGATGAAACTGGGTTTTGATATTTTGTATGGTATAGGTTTTGAAACTGAAAGGTATGGGTTTTGATCTTCTGTGGATTTTGTAGTTTTGACAGAGAGCAAATATGAAATATTTGATAGGGAGCGAGAGAGGGTAAGATCAGAGACATGGCTTTGATACAATGTTTATTTTATGAATTGCATTTCATTCATTCATTTGATATATTTTTTCATGAATTGTACAGAGTATTTATAAGCTTGATCTTCTAGACATAATCCATAGAATCAAGCTTATAATCTTTGAATTCCTAAATACAATCTTCTATGGCCAATAACTAATCTTTGACACACCTAATTCAAACATTTGAC